ATTTTAATTGTTGTTGAATGTTCAGTTCTGACATTTATATCCATAGTCCAATGTGTCTTCTGAGTATCTTTGCAAACCATCTGGGCCGGGTTGTTCAAAAAACGATTAAGCTAATCCAGGATTGGCGCGAATTTTGATTTCAGTTTTGTAACTGTTCAGTGAAGATTTCTGTTTATAATTTTTGTCTTTCTGTTTTGACTTTGACTAATGTCAAACTCTACAAAATATTAGCAGAGAAAAACACTTTTATACAAGAGAAATTAAAAGCTTGATTAACTCTTAATCCAGGATTAGCGTTAACTCGGCTTTCGAACAACCGGGCCCTGATCTATTAACTATTTTTATGGACTTTTTTGTTAAATTATCGAGAACACGCAGTTTGAATGCCGAGTAAACATGATAATTGCTTAAAAATACCATGATGGAGCACCTTTAGGGTTTCTGTTCGTTGCATGTTTATATTTAATATGTAGTCATCAAGCGTAGTACATTATCGGTCCACCTAATTATGAGCGAACAAGAATAGAATAGGAAGATTTCTTGGTTTAAAATGTCCAAATATTAATTAATTTTAATGATTACCAGGGTTTCTGCTGATTATCAAGTGGACTATCATAGAGCCCAGTGTGTAAAAAATAAGTGGCTGCATGTATCTGATCATTTGATCATAGTGACAACAAATAATAAGACAGGGCTTTTCCAAGTCGTGTAATTGGAATGAGTGCAACTTAAATCCTTTAACGAGGATCTAGTAAGGTGCCACCGATCACCAACTGGCCATATATAAGAGCATGATTAATTGAGCTTTCCTTGGGCCAAACGAGAGTGGCCACAATAGCGTGGTCGTGATAATATTAATGAGGTGGTCGTAAGGCGGGGTTCTACTGTATAATTACTAAATTTAATATAAATTATTAAAAATGTATAATTGTTTAATATAATATAATAAAATTATTGTTAAGTAGCATTTCTCTTGATTGTTTTAACGATTTACTGACGATTCTCATAGCTATTGTTGCACTATAACTTCGCGTGTGTCTTTCAGTACACACGTACACACGCTGTTTTTAAGGCAACCACCAGAAACTATATATCAAAAGAAAGGTTCAGAGAAAGGTTATAAATAAACCAATTATTATTATTGTGATGCTAATATACATGAAAGATCGGCCATCACTATAAAGATAAATATTCAGGGAACCTCCCTCTGATCTCGTACAAAAGAGCAAAACTATCTTGAAGACAAAGACATGCATGTATACAGCAATGCTATAAAGGGGGTGGGGAGGCACAGGGGGTCTGAACTTCCCGCTTCTCGTACATTTTACTCTCGGTTACCGCCCCTTACTTAGTGGTTTCTGTCTCTTCTTTCATTTTTTATCTATTTGTGCCGGTTCTAGCCATCTTGGGTATCCCACCTCCCTGTTCTCTCTTTTTCCACCTCCCGTAGACTTCCCACCCCCTTAACTCCTGTGTTCCCGTCCCTCCCCCCCCCCCCCCCTCCACCCCATTAAGGCTTGCTTTAAACAGGCCATTACCTCCTCTTTTTATTTCATGACCTCGCCCATTTCTGAGTACATATTCAACAGAATAAAACATTTCCTTTGCGCCCACCATACTTAGAGCATGAATCTACAATAGCCGGGGCTCATGTAGGGTCTTCTCCAGTTCGCGCTTGGCTTGCTTCGCTCGCCATCATCAGCCCGTTCACTGGCTGTAATCAACCTAAAAAATACCGGTCAGCGAAAATCAATGTCACTCCAAAAAAAGTATCTTGCACGTTCCACCAATAAACCTACCAATCAAGTCACTCTTATCCTTGGAAGGCAAGTGTCTGAACGCATGCCGGTTTATTTGGGCAACTACAATGAAGTTTATTTGTCGAAATGTACATCAAACTTTGCATCAAATATAGTTCGTTTCCTGCTTGGACGATCTCAGTAATTCTGGTTGTTTTTCCTGTAACTTGTCTCGCAATTGCGTTGCGCCGTTGCGAGACAAGTTGCACAAAACGTTGCTTTGTGTAACACTCACAGGCAACGTATCAAAAATTCGTTGCATTTGGCCCAACGTTGCTTCCTTCGTTGCGAAAAGCAGAACTTGAGTCTACTTCTCTCAACGCTTGCTGCAACGAAAAAACTGCGAGACATGTTCATTTCAGGATGTGTTACACTATAAATGTTTGAACTAGAGGCCCGATCAAACGGTCACAACATTTGTCACAACATTGTCACAACATTTGTTGTGAGCCGATGTTGAGACCATTTGACCACCCCTCACAACGGGATAGTCACTCTTGGAAGCTTATCATTAAGTCGCCATCCCATTAAAAGCTCCGCTGGTGACAATCCGGTCACGGTGTGGGGTGTGGTTCGGTAGTGAAAGAGGAAATCCTCCAGTGCTTTTTTCCAATCTCACCCCTCTAGGCTAGTAATTCTAATTATCTTGAGCAGGGTCACATTGCTACGTTCAACTTTACCATTACTCTGTGGCCAGTAAGGTATCCCTTTTTGTGTTCGATTCCGAGATAGTCTAGGAAGCTCTCGAATTGTGTGGAGGCAAAGGGTGGCCCATTGTCACTGCGAACACTAAGGGGTAGATCATGTGTATGAAACATGCCCTCCAAGGCTCTTGTAACATGTGCTACATCCGTCTTCTTTAACAAACCTCAGGCCAACGAGAATAGTTGTCCACTGCAACGAGGAGGTGGTTTCCCCCGGGGATCTCTAATAGGTCAACGGCGATGTCGCTCCAAGGACCTTCGGGGAGGGTTGTGGATCTGATGGTTCTGGTTTGTTTCTTGGACCAACCAGTTGGCAAGGATGACATGATTTTATGAACTGCTCCACCTGCTTGTCAATCTGGGGCCACCATACCTTCTCCCTCAGTCGGGCCTTGTTACGTATCATTCCCTGATGTCCCTCGTGCGCTATTGTGATAGTACGTTTCCAGAGGCTCTCTGGCATGATAATGCGATTACTTCTCAGGACTAGCTGGCCCAAGACCCAAAGCTCCTCTGACAAGGCTTTGTACATAGTACCTGACAAGCAACTCCAGTCTCCTGATGTCACAGCTTCTCGGACCAGTTGTAGGGTGGTGTCTTTCTCGGATGCTCTTTCCGCTTGTTGGGGTGTCAGGGCTGCTAGAACTGCTTCACAGGCAATACTGCAGGCGTACTGTCTGGTTTGAGTTGCATCACTGTCCTCAACTGGGCCTAATGGGAAACGGCTTTTAAGCCAAGGCATCCGCATAGTTCTCTTTTCCAGCAATGTGTTTGACCACATATCGGAATTGCTGGAGGTATACAATAGCCATCTTTCAATACGTGCCGATGGTGGTGTACTCTTTTCGCCCAACACAGTTAGCAACGGCTTGTGATCTGTGCATAGGTCAAACTCGATAATAGAATTTCCGACAGGCCCATTTTACGGCTGATGCCTCTCTTTCAAACTGGGAGCATCTTCTCTCCACGCACGCATAGTAGAATGGCCCCTACAGTCAATCCTCTTGTTGTTGTTCTAGGATGGCGCCGAGACCAACAGGTGATGCATCTGTAACAAGGCGGGTGTTTGCATCCTTGGTGAAATAGGCCATCACCGGGACATTTGTCAGTAAGTTATTGATTTCTTCAAAGGCTTCTTCTTCTTTAGTACCCCATCTCCAGGGCTTGTTTGTGTGAGTGAGGTCCCATAGTGGGCTTGATATGGTCGAAAACCCAGGAATAAATGTTGCACAGAACTGGGCGTATCCTAGAAAGCTTCTTAATTCGAATTGGTTTTGTGGTCGTGGAACATTCACAATGGCTTCGACTCTCCTTTTGGACACTTGCAGCCCCTCCCATGACAGTACTTCGCCCATATATAGCGTGCTCTTGGGGCTCCAATGACGCACTTGTCGTAGTTGAGGGTTAGACCATTCTCTTCAAATTGTGCATGACTCTGTCAAGGTTTTCGTCATGCTCCCTGTCATCCCGCCCGACTACCCGTACGTCATCGTGTAAGTTGTAGGCACCGGGACATTCCTTCAGTATCTGCCATATCAATTGCTTAAATTTTTCTGTTGCCATGTTTACTCCGAAGAGCAACCGTTTGTAATGATAGAGGCCATCTGGGGCTGCGAAGGTTGTTATGTCTCGTGACTCAGGGGGGAGTTCTACTTGGTAGAACGACATGTTTAAGTCGAGTTTAGTAAAAACCTTTGCATCGGAGATCTCCCGTAAGGTTTCGTCTACTGTAGGAACTGGGTGCTTTTCCCTGAGGATCGCACGATTTGTTTGCCGCATGTCCAGGCAAATTCTGATGTCTCCATTGGGGTTTTCCACAGGCACAAGCGGGTTGATCCAGCTAGTAGGACCATTGACCTTTTCGATGATGTCGAGCTCTTGAAGTTGTTTCAGTGTCTGAGTCACCTTTTCTCTTCTGAACGGTATTGGGGGTTGGGATACGGGTTTAAGACTGTCATCCTGGTGTAAATTTAACTGATACCCCGGCCTTAAGTTTACCTAAGCCCTAAAATACTTTAGGGAATTTTTCCCTAAGAGCAGCCTTATTGTCTGCGGATTCGGTGGTGTCAGAACTAGTGCCGCAGATGTTGACATCAATTCCGACTTTGAGGCCCCAAGCATCTCAGATGTTTTACGACCTAGGCTACAAAGTTGCAGCTTGCCCTGGGACTATGTAGAATTCTACACTTGTTGACATACTTGTTTGGGGTATACTTAACCTAAAGCTGCAACTTCCTTTTAGCTCTAGGGGTTGTGAGCGTGCGCATGTGTATACACTTCTGCTGCACTGATTTAGGGTAGTCTTCCCCCCTGCGAGAGACTGAAACATATCTTCTTACATGAGGTTACAGCTTGCACTTGAGAACTCACAAACACAACATTTATTCTTCAAGATGGCGGACCCTACTGAAAGCACATGGTTGCTTACTCACGTGACTAGAAACGTCACTTCCGGTACACCACAGTCACAACATGTCACAACAAATGTCGTGAAAATGTTTGTGACGGTTTGATCGGGTAGAGCATCGCACTAGTAACGCGGAGGTCATGGGTTCAAATCCCGTTGAAGCCAGAATTTGTTTCTGGTTTATATTGAAATTGCAAAAAATTGCATTCATAACTGCGATGATCACTTATTCATTTAATGTCCCCAATTAGATTGTAAAAAGCTATAAAATCAATTGACACTGAGAAGTTTTACTTTACTTTACTTGGGCATTTTTTGTTCAACTTGTGTCGCAACAAATCAGTGCGAGACAAGTTGCAGGAAAAATTGCCTAGTAGTTTGTGCTGATTAACGACATAAATAAAACTAATGTTGACAGGTGTCAATCTCGTTCCCAGAGGCCGCGATACTTTTGGTCAGCACCAAGAAACTTTGGTCACCACTGACTGAAACGCGCTGGTTCTGGAGACGAGATTGGACAGATGTGCGGTGTTCCCAACCTCGTAGCCAGAGTCCACGGTCTCCTCCGTCAGCGGTTGGTCATCGCCAGGTGGAACTCTGGGGGAATGGAATTTATCATCCCAGAAATCTGGGGTAACGGTCACTTCCGCTGCCATTTTTGTTACACAAACAGCCAATCAACAAATTCGATATTTATTCCATTCCCCCAGAGTCTAACCTGGCGACGACTACCGCTGACTGAGGAGACCGTTGACTCTGGGTACGCCGGAGATTGCGGTGTTCTCGGAAGTGACTCCTGTGATACAAACAACAGGCATATTCTAAGATTGACGCCTTCAAATGACAACTTTTCGTAAATTATTTTCATAAATTTAAACCAGAAAATGCAAGGAAAACTAGAAAAGGCGGTGGAGGAGTTCAAAGTGTATTCTGAACGAGCCTCGTCGTTATTCAACGAGACTGTTGCGTGTTTGGAGGAAATGAAGGCCGAAGCCAAGCTCAGCGAAGGCGCCATTACTGCCATCTCTTCATCGGTGAACATGGACGACCTCAAACAAGCCCTGAAGAAAAGACCGTCGGTAGTTTTCATTGGTAATCGAAATTGTGGAAATAGCGCTATTTTGAACGAGCTTCTCGGCGGGTCATGGCTCCCGGTTCACGAGATGCCATGTACTTCACGAATAGTCAAGATCAGTCACTCCGTGAGTCAAAACACAGTCAGAGTTGTTGACAAAGCAGGGGAAGAGGTTCAACCTCTCACTACGTTCACGAAGAAAGTTCCTGCGAATATGTGGTGGTGTGCGATCAACATGAGAGGACGGAAGGGGCTTCGACTGTAAGTACCTGGATTAGTTAAGGAAATTAAGTTGCGGTTACAGAAAGCGTTATAATCTGTCAATACTCTTCAATACTCTTCTAGTCATGTTGTCATCACTTGTAATACGGATCAATTTCCATTTCTGGTGGCAGAATAAATTATAATATTTCGCGGCGAACTCGCTTGGCGGCAAATGAGGAGTTTTACTAGACAGAGATTTACATGATGTACTGTAAAACATTTCGGACTCGGAACTGGGATGGTCTGGAATGTTCCATGTTTTTGGTTTAATTAATATCCCGATTGTAATGGCATTAGAAAGGTCAGAAAGTGAAATGATTCATTTTCTGAAGTTATTAAATTCACTTACGTATGTTCATTTTACAGTATGAAAGCATTTTTATGCAATAAATGAAGTGGTTTTATTAGTTGTTGAAACATAACAGAAAGTCAAATGAATCAGCATTCACTCGGCGTGAGAGTTTCACAAGATGATAACTCGATCCATTATTTGATAAATGTGTTTTTTGGCAAGCCTGATGAATTGTCCTTTGTTTCATTGATATCCTTGATCACACTTGAATCAATGGACAGAAATAGGAATAAATAGTTTTTATCAGTCATTTCTAAATTTGGCCTTTGCTCTCTTCCGTAGTTTTGTGGCTCACTCCACTACTAACGTTCCGAGTGCATTCAGAGTAGCAACGGTTAAATCTAAAACGCGACAACATTGAAATGGGGGAGGGGGGTTAAACAAATAATCTGTAGTACTCAAATTGGTTTGAAATTTGATCAAGTGACTCAACAGTTTTGAGCACGATTGTAGCAGCTAGTAATTTATAATATTTTTGCAAATTGTATTTTATTATATTTTATTTATTTTATTCAATATCCAATCCACCAATTATTTGCTACAGATACTGAGTTATGTCCTAATTATGTCTACCGTAATTGCGTTATAATTATGGATTTATGACTTTTCTCTAATTAGTTATGGCTGTCTTGTAAGAGCAAGTTAATTTCTTTGAATCTCTGTGCTGTATCTACGAGATATCACAATCCAGCGGATTTTCAGTTAGTCAGTCATGCAAGGGGTCGAGGCGACATTCCAGATGTATGACATCATCGTGAAAGCGTGGGATCGCGCGTGCGTGGGCGGACGTAAATTGTTTCAGTTGTTCCCATCAGCATGTTTTTTTCCAAAACTCCATATCTGAAGATGACACAATGGGGTATTTATAGAATTCCTAGAAAATATCACAAAGGAAAGGATCCCTCGTTGTTTTCTGATGTTGTACTTACTAATCCGGTTACAATCAAGACTTCAACTGTACTTGTACTTTGTTAATTTAATCTACTTGGCGTTGGGTGCTGCCTTTTGCTGGTTCTTATTATATATTTATAATTTAATTATGAATTTAGTTCGTGTACTAATTTTGTTTCGGTTTACCGCTACAATGGTTTTCCATGGTCCTGCGCTGGAAGTCAATCAACTGCCAATAACAATAATGTTATAAATATATCAAGCCAATTAAAATCGTTCTACATGGACACGTGATTAGACCATTTTACAATGATAAATATGACATACAAGGTGTTGGGGCGTTTGTTTTGCGAGAGAAGGAAGTAATGTGAGTACGAAGCTCTTTTCTTCTCCATTGCCTGTTCAGAATATCCCGAGGTATACATTTTTGGTAAGTTCTTTTTGATAGTAGATTAAGTGAATCGAAAATACTGAGGTATTTCCTGTCCTTCTCGCGGTTGTTTAAAAGTGTTACGCGTACTTTCTCACGAAGATGCGACCTTTAATCTTTCGGTAGGCTTAACAAGAACGTACTCATGAGATTAAGACAGTTCCAGGGATTCTTAATTTATGTCATGGACAAATTTCGGAATTGTGATCAAGCGGTGGTGTGTTCGCTAAATGAACTTTGCTTTCAATTGCGTCGCATCGGCATGTTTTGGGCCTATTTATAGAAAGAATTTCTGGGAAAACAAAACATAACTATTTGTGAGTTCTAAATTCCGCTACAATCATGTAAGACTTCCAATGCGGTTTATGTATACTACATATTCCCTCCTTACATAAAAGTTAACTTGAGTTGCCAATGGAAATCGAACCAAACTTCTCTTACTGCACCAAACAGTACCTGAGACAAAACAGCATGGGGCAAAACAAAGGGAAAATTCCCTTTGCACCACTTATGCTCTACAAGGAAATCTGCTAGTGACTGGAGGCTGGACAGCAGTGTAATCAGTGACAATATCTGTCAAGTACTTCTTACATTTGTTTTCATGGTCAAGTAACTTTGAATTCAGAAATGTTCCGTACGAGTAGAGTGGAATACTAATACATGAAATGGTTAAGTTGTCGCAGCAGAACAGGAAGTTAATATTTCAATTAATCAGTATTCACTTGGTGTGATAGTCTACACTATATGATAATTATATCATTTGATAGAATGTGTTTTGACAAGTCTCATCACTTGTTCTTTGTTATCGATCATCGATATCCTTGATCACGCTCAATGATGTGTGTGTTAATTAAAAGGTTTAAATCAGTCATTTGGAAATTTGGCCACTGCTTATTTCTTACGGAATTAACAAATAACTAACTATTTAACTGGTTATTCGTTCTTACTGAAGGTAAGTGATATTAATCTTAATGTTTGATATAACAGGTTGCATATTTTAGCTTTAATTGTGCGCGTTTTCGTAGCAACTGGAGCGAAAGACGTTTGCTTGGTTCTTTTCAAAAACTTACCCACAACCCTTAATCTAGCCAACTGAATTGCTTCTATGAAGTTTTTTTTTTATATATTAACATTCCTGTTTTTGGTCGCGGTTTTAGCTATTCATTTGCTTTGCTTTCGATAACACCATCAAACCGATCAAACGCTTCAAGAAAAGCTTTAACCGAAAGATAATTCGTACTCATAAGAGAATGAAGAAATAAACGGTTTCCATATTCCGTCTAGTGAACAATTCCGTTTTTGTAGCAACTTCTTTCGAGAGCTTCTTTAAACCTGTTTTTTACACCACCATGTTACACTGTACTTAACGCATTTTTATGAAAGCTTATGAAACAATGAACACATTCGTTTGTGGTATGGCATTATCATTTTTAATTATAAGTGTAAGAGGTTTACACTTATAATAGTAACTGCACTGGGTAGTATTCATTAAATTAGGACAAGCACACAGCAATTTTACGATTTCTACTCCGAGGTGCTGCAAGTAATGCAGAGATAGTGATATACATGTAAAATAGTAACCAAATACCAGGACTTCTTCCAGATTTGGAGCGGAGTGGTTTTTGAGTCCGTTATATAAACGAAAACATGAAATCGCTATAATTGAACCAATTGCTTATTTGGGATGTGTTCAATATGAAAGTTTATGAATTAGCTCTAGATAGCATATTTTCAGTAATAATGCCAAGATGAATACTCAGTTTAGGTTCAGGTTCCAAGAATGAGAGACTAATATTTATATTTTCAGATGTGGGAAACTAGGTAGGTAACATTCGAATTTCGTGAAAAAAGAAGGAATTGTTCCAGGTTTGTTAACTCTAAAATCATGTCAGGCAACTTAGTTGTGTATAAAAGGTTTCCTACATGTATATATACTTCTTACGAATTTGCTATAAGATTCCGATATACGCCAAATAATTTTCATTTTATTTTCTCTTCAGTCAGTAGCATCAACATGTTACATACTTCTTAAAAAATGTTTTGATTATCCGGGATGGTCTGGAATGTTCCATGTTTTTGGTTTAATTAATATCCCGATTGTAATGGCATTAGAAAGTGAAATGATTCATTTTCTGAAGTTATTAAATTCACTT